TTTTTTTTATTTTTTATTTTTTTAGGTTTAACGATGTAGTCTTGCCGTGACATTTTATTTGTTTAAAATTTTACATACGAATTAATAAATAAAAAACCCAATTTTACTAAAAGTAGCGACTTGACGTCGTACACAATCTCCATGAAGCCTCTTTTCTTGTAAAAAAGAGAATTAAGATGAAGCACCCCAATTATTGATCATGTAAGATATCTGCCAAGAAACGTTGAAAAACCCACCATTGTTTCTTGAAATTTGTGTTGTTGCTTGTTATCTTTTTATTGATAGCAATAAATATTATTTTTGTTGTTGAACCTTTTATTAAAGAGATAAAAGTTTTTGTTTCATTTTTTTTACAAAACTGACTTCTTCATCAACTCCACTTTCCTCCCCACAACTATTCTTGAGATTGGAAGTTTTTCTTTATCTATGCTATATGTATATTGTTTTTATGTTATCTAAAAAATTTTTTTTGATTTTTTGGCTGCGTCCTGGTGGGAAAATTTTTTTAGGAAGAGTCACTATTTATTGAATTCAGAAAACTTATCTTTTTATACAGAAATACATGTTATTATTACAACTAATTAATAAATAAATAAATAATTATCATAATTGTTAATATCTTATAACTTTCTGGAAAGCTGCAGTACTCAACTTGGTAACTTGTTCATACAAGAAATATTAATATAAATAATAATACCTAACATAATACCAATAAATGATAAATAAAAATAAATTAAGAAAATAAAGAAATGTGAACAAGAAAAACACACTCTATAAATGGTGTAAAATAATAATTATTATTGTTATATTTATATTTAGACAAACATTATTGATCCCTGAAATTCTTGGTAATACTAATGTTCACTTTGTCTGGTTTTGTTGCAAGCATGCCCCCATATATAAATAAATTAATCATGATTTAATTTGATACCCTGATGACGAAATAGGTTACACGTGTTTTTATTCTTTTTCGGTAAATCAACAAAAAACTCTCTCAGAGGTCAACCGAATATCTTATACAAGAACCTCTTTTCAAATAACAGCGCATAGCAAAGCAAAGCAAAGCATTTTTAAAGAAACTAAATATTTTCCGTGCTGCTCAAATTGCTAAAATTGCTAATTGGTAATAAAAAAAGTAAAACAATAGAAATTAAATATTAATAAAGAATTTGATCTACAAAAATTGGCAATTTAGAATGAGACGGTTGTTTCGATAATCAACAATGAATATTTGTTTCGCTCATTCATCTTACATGACAATAATGATGATAGAACTACATAAAAATGATCAACTGATAAAAAAGCAAATTTTGATCAATCATTATTTATTTTTTGTTTGTTTGTTTGGTATTTGTTTTTATTTGTAATAAAAAACCCAATTTTACTAAAAGTAGCGACTTGACGTCGTGCACAATCTCCATGAAGCCTCTTTTCTTGTAAAAAAGAGAATTAAGATGAAGCACCCCAATTATTGATCATGTAAGATATCTGCCAAGAAACGTTGAAAAACCCACCATTGTTTCTTGAAATTTGTGTTGTTGCTTGTTATCTTTTTATTGATAGCAATAAATATTATTTTTGTTGTTGAACCTTTTATTAAAGAGATAAAAGTTTTTGTTTCATTTTTTTTACAAAACTGACTTCTTCATCAACTCCACTTTCCTCCCCACAACTATTCTTGAGATTGGAAGTTTTTCTTTATCTATGCTATATGTATATTGTTTTTATGTTATCTAAAAAATTTTTTTTGATTTTTTGGCTGCGTCCTGGTGGGAAAATTTTTTTAGGAAGAGTCACTATTTATTGAATTCAGAAAACTTATCTTTTTATACAGAAATACATGTTATTATTACAACTAATTAATAAATAAATAAATAATTATCATAATTGTTAATATCTTATAACTTTCTGGAAAGCTGCAGTACTCAACTTGGTAACTTGTTCATACAAGAAATATTAATATAAATAATAATACCTAACATAATACCAATAAATGATAAATAAAAATAAATTAAGAAAATAAAGAAATGTGAACAAGAAAAACACACTCTATAAATGGTGTAAAATAATAATTATTATTGTTATATTTATATTTAGACAAACATTATTGATCCCTGAAATTCTTGGTAATACTAATGTTCACTTTGTCTGGTTTTGTTGCAAGCATGCCCCCATATATAAATAAATTAATCATGATTTAATTTGATACCCTGATGACGAAATAGGTTACACGTGTTTTTATTCTTTTTCGGTAAATCAACAAAAAACTCTCTCAGAGGTCAACCGAATATCTTATACAAGAACCTCTTTTCAAATAACAGCGCATAGCAAAGCAAAGCAAAGCATTTTTAAAGAAACTAAATATTTTCCGTGCTGCTCAAATTGCTAAAATTGCTAATTGGTAATAAAAAAAGTAAAACAATAGAAATTAAATATTAATAAAGAATTTGATCTACAAAAATTGGCAATTTAGAATGAGACGGTTGTTTCGATAATCAACAATGAATATTTGTTTCGCTCATTCATCTTACATGACAATAATGATGATAGAACTACATAAAAATGATCAACTGATAAAAAAGCAAATTTTGATCAATCATTATTTATTTTTTGTTTGTTTGTTTGGTATTTGTTTTTATTTGTACCTTTGTATTTGGAAAATTTTATAATCTAATCAATTTTTTGATCCATACAAATAATAGTGTATCAATCATAAATAAATTGATTTTGATAATATATAATCTCATCAAATAAATTAAATTATCGCGTATATATATATAAACATATAAATATATAATATATTGCGTACTTATTCTCTTATTAAATTATTATTTATTTTAACAATAACAATATTTTTGTTAATAAATTATTTAATTATAAAAAAAACAAATTAAAATATTATAAAAAATGTCTAAATTATGGGGTGGTCGTTTTACAGGAGCAACAGATCCTTTGATGGATGCTTTCAATGAATCCATACATTTCGACAAACAAATGCATAAAGCTGACATATTAGGCTCAAAAGCTTATGCTAAAGCCTTAGAAAAACGTGGAATACTTACATTAGAAGAGCGCGACAGTTTAATAAGAGGACTTGAACAAGTTCTCGAGGAATGGGAATCGGGCAAATTTGAAATAAAATCAGGTGATGAGGATATTCATACTGCTAATGAAAGAAGACTAGGTGAAATTGTGGGAAGTGTTGCAGGTAAATTGCACACTGGGCGTAGTAGAAATGATCAAGTTGCCACAGACTTAAGAATATGGGCAAGGGAAGAAGCTAAAAAATTGTTGGGCTATGTTAAACAATTAATCGGTGCTGCCATTGAAAGAGCCGAAAAAGAAATTGATGTATTAATGCCGGGCTATACTCATTTGCAGGTAATATATATATATATACCTTAATTTTAATGATTCATGAAAACTTCCAATAAACGATATTTATTTATATACAAATAGAGAGCTCAACCAATACGTTGGAGTCATTGGTTATTAAGTTATGCATGGGGTTGGAAATCTGATGCAGAACGTTTGGCACAAATAATTGATCGTTTGAATGTGCTTCCTTTAGGAAGTGGAGCATTAGCTGGCAATCCTTTTAATATTGACAGAGAATTTCTTGCCAAAGAATTAGGATTTAATGGCGTAATTCAAAATAGTTTGTATGGTGTGAGCGATCGTGACTTTGTGGCAGAATTGTTGTTTTGGGCTTCAATGACGATGATACATATCAGTAGATTTTCTGAAGATTTGATAATCTATAGTACCGGCGAATTTGGATTTGTAACATTGGCTGATGCTTATAGGTACCTACATAAATTATATAATCTTTTCCTTTTTCATGATTGAATAAATGTGTTAAATATTATAATAATTAATATTTTTTATTGATTAGTACCGGAAGTAGTCTTATGCCACAGAAAAAAAATCCAGATAGTTTAGAATTGTTACGTGGTAAATCTGGGAGAGTTTTTGGACAGGTAAAAAAAAAAAAAAAAGATTACAATAATATTTGTTTAATAATACCTAATAATAATGTATTACTTTTAATAAAAAGATTTCTGGCTTTCTAATGACATACAAAGGTCTTCCAAGTACTTATAACAAAGATCTTCAAGAAGACAAAGAACCATTATTTGATTCAGTTCATACATTGGCAGGATCGTTACAAATTACCACAGGTGTATTGTCAACTCTTAAAGTGAGTACCAAATATTTAATTATTTGAAATAAATTACTTTCATCCATATATTAACTATATATTTAACTACATATATAAGATTCATCCTGACAAAATGAGACAAAACTTAAGCATTGATATGTTAGCCACTGATTTGGCTGAATATCTTGTTCGCAAAGGAGTGAGTAATCTTTCTTTTTTATCCTAAAATACCTCTATATATTCCTTTATTCATTGATTAATGTAAAATTTCTTCTCGTAATTCTTATTGTTTTTACTTACAATCAAAAAGGTACCATTCCGTGAGACACATCACATAGCAGGAGCCGCCGTGCGTTTAGCAGAAGAAAATACTACAACAATGGATAAATTAGAATTAAAAGATTTTAAAAATTTGCATCCTGCATTTGAAAGTGATGTTCAAGAAATTTGGGATTATGAAAAGAGTATTGAAAATAGATCAAGTTTAGGTGGAACTAGTAAAAAAACTGTTTTAGAACAAATCGAAAAATTAAAAATTTGGTTAAAAGATTAATGTTCTTTTTCATCTTATTCTTCCTCAATACATTGTTAATTCTCTCTCTCAATAATATAAATAATTGCATTAATAGATGTCTTTGACTTTTTCATTATTATAATAAAAAAATGATGATCTTAACCGAAAATAATTAAAAAATAGTATCACGAATTTTATTTTTGTAAAATTTTAATATCGATTCAACCTTTCTTTTTTATCTTGACAAATTATATTAAAAAGATCTAGATTTATTTTCGTTTATTTATTATTTAATTGAACAAAATCAAACGATAAAAAAATAAAATGTCTAGATTTGTTCGTTCTTCAAAATTCAGGTGATTTTTCTTTTGCTTGGACTTTTATAAACATATTATCAAAAAATTTTTTTGTCTTACTCTTTCATAAATACTTTTATGATTAATGCTAATTTTTTTTTTATAGACACGTATTTGGTACAAGTTTAAAACATGACACTTGTTTTGATAATGTCAAAGTATCATCGAGTGCATGGGATACCAATCTTGTGAAAGTTAATTCAGTAAGTAGTTGAAGGAATTTTGCAGTTGTTCATTTTGACTTTAAAATCCTTTCTTTTTGAATCATATAAATTTACAAGATTTTCTATAGAATGAATTCATGTTTTAAAATAATATATTTTTTAAAATCGCGTAATGATAGACATTTGTTGCCATTAATTGGAATGCTGGCGGTGGTGGCGCGTTTGCTGTTATTCCTTTTAAGAATTCTGGTAAGATTATATAATATATATTTATGACTATTTTAATTTTAAAGATTTACAATATTGAAATATCCAAAAAAAAAAATTTATTTATTGGCTATTTATACTTTTAGGCAAAATTAGTGATGGAATTCCACTTTATCGTTCACATACTGCACCAGTTTTGGATACCGATTTTGCAAATTTTAATGAATATGTAGTTGCCTCAGCTTCTGAAGATTCTAAAATAATGATTTGGAATGTACCAGAAGAACTTGGCGAGCCTGAAAGTCCTGATGTTGAACCTGTTGCTAAATTAACAGGTCATGGAAGGTAAATAATATTGATGTTTAATATAAATTGTTGTTGTTGTTGTTGTTGTTTTTGTTTTAATCTATCAATTCATTTTTTTTTGTTTTTGTTAATAAATAAATAAACTTACAGGAAAGTTGGTCATGTTTTATTTCATCCTGTAGCAGATAATGTTTTAGCATCATCGTCTGCAGATTTAACTGTAAAATTATGGGATATTGAAAAGGGCATCGAGAAACAACAACTAGAAGGATTCCTTGACTTTGTACAATCAATGTCTTGGAATTGGAATGGAAGTTTATTGGCGACAACATCTCGAGACAAAAGAATTCGCATTTTCGATGTAAGATCAAGCAAAGTGGTCCAAGAAGCATCTGGCCATCAAGGCGTTAAAGGCTCTAGAATTGTTTGGCTAGGAAATACTGATAGATTCGTAACAACAGGTTTTTCAAAGATGAGCGATCGGCAAGTGTTTCTATGGAATACGAATGATTTGGAAAAACCGATTAAAAATATGATGTTAGACACATCTTCTGGTATTGTAATGCCATTTTACGATGAAGATACAAAGATATTATTTTTGGCTGGCAAGGTGATTATTAAAAAAAAAATTTTTTTCTTCTCTTAATATTACATGATACTAGATTACTCTAACGCATACATGCACATTATTAAATTTTAAATGAACGAACGTTACAGGGGTAGGTTAATTTTCAATAATATGAGTTCTGAAATTAAAGTATTTAATAAGCATGTATCGATCAATTTGTTTTTTTATATGTTTTGCTTATTTATTAGTGATGGTAATATTCGTTACTATGAATTCGAGAACGATGAGCTACATTACTTATCAGAATACAAATCATCTGAACCTCAACGTGGGATGTCATTTTTACCCAAAAGATCTGTTAATATTTCAGAATGTGAAATTGCTAGAGCTTATAAAGTTGCAAATAATTTAATAGAACCAATTTCTTTTGTTGTTCCACGAAAGGTATTTATTATCAAGTATTGATGATTAAAAAAAAATTTTTCTTTTTATTTGTATTAATATTTTTTTCTTTTTTCTAAAAATTAATTGATACAGTCTGACGCTTTTCAAGCGGATTTATTTCCACCAACAATTGGTGATGAACCAGCTCTTACAGCAGACGAATTTTTCGAAGGTAAAAATTCAAATCCAAAGATGATTGATTTAGAAAAAGGGTTTCAAGTTAAAGAGAAAAAAGAGTTTGTCTCTTCGGCTCCAAAAGAAGAAGAAAAGGAAGAAAAAGTGCCCAAATCTGAAAAAGAAGTATGTGTGATATAACATTCTTTATTAAAATCTTCCATAACATGAAATTATATACTAATTAAATATATACAATATATATTTAATTATAATAGTATGAAGAGGCATATCATCAATTACGTCAAGAAAATGATGATTTACGAAAACAACTGGCACAACGTGATATTTCAATCCGTGCTTTAACAGCTCAATTGGAACATTTAAAGACTTCCTCTCCATCCTAATTTATTATAATAATGCATTAATGATAATGATTTTAATTTATTTATTTGGTCAAATTAATTTATTAAATGTTTACTTGAATATAAATTATATTATTGTTAATTTTTTAAAAAAATGTAAATTTTTAATTATTCATATTCTGTATTTTTTGTAAAACGTGTTATCTATTTAAATTATTATTTATTGTCTGTCTATTAACAGAATAATTTATTGTTGTTAATGTAATCTTTGTTTATACATAAATCCCAACAGCCATAAACAAGAACAAAGTTCCAAAGCCCAGCAAAAGAGAAGCAGGAATTGCTGTAGAAAATTCTTTGATCAATGATGTCTTTGATGATATTCTTTAATAAAATTAAAGACAATTCATAAACAACATATATTTGATTAGTAATAAGAGATATCATTATTATTTATATTAACTAATTTAATTAATTTATTTATGTATTTTAAAGGATACACTGAAAATGCACTTGTTACTATAAATCCTGATAATAAAAGTAAAAAAGCTAGGATGGGAAAGGTAGATTGAGGAAATGGTGCAGAGTATGGTGTGGCATTCTGCCAATCAGACTATTTAGGATGGATAATAAATAATCATATAAACGGCTTGTTTTTTTAAAAAAAATATTTATGAAAAAAATGTAAAGAACTTACTAATGCTGACATTTTTATTTATTTATTTTTATTTATTGAAAATTAAAAAAATTTAAACAATCAAAAATGCTTTCCAAATTTGCACCCTTTTTTTTAAAAAAAAATTTGATGTCGGTCAATCTATATAAAGTCGCAAGTCATTATCATTCCTATCAGATGCGAAGAATTATAAACACCATCCTGAATCATTCTATACAAGTCGTCTGTTAAATGAATCAATTCAAAACAAGCCGGATCGTTATTAAACCTTTATCAACTGAAGCTGGATCGGCTTATTATGTTAGGATAGTGATGATGACGAATAATTCAATTTTAAAAAAAGGGATTTATCTTATTGTTTCAGGCATTATAACCAAAAAAGGGTGTAGACTTTTTTTTGCCTTTGTGTGTATCACTTATACGAAAAAGAAAAAAAAAATCTAAATTGATCCTTGGTGTGGGATAATAAATAAATGAACGAATATTGTCTTTCAAATATCTTTTGTTCACTCGTTTGGCAATGTTGGATGGAACAATAGAGTATCTTACCATATTGAACAATCGATCACCTTTAAATAAAAAATAATTGAATGATTGATTGATCGAACTGTAAATTATCTTCTGTTGTAGTAATTACGCTTGAAATCCATTTTCTAATAATTTGAAAATTTACTTTTTTAAAGACATATGAAAAATATTGGATTGTGTTCATGTTGTTCAATAGGTTGTCAATTAAATGCAACAACACATTTTATATCAGTATTGTTGCACCTTTTACAGAAGAAAGGAGAGCGAATTTAAGAGAACAGTTAATAGAACAGTGCTCAGAGATTGGATGTTTATTTTTAAAAAAAAGAATGATTCTATTTCTATGACCAAAATCGGCAATTAATAATAATAATTAAATACTACATATTTATTTAATATGTAAACTCGATAAGTCGGTCGATAAGTCGGCCAAAATTTTCACCCCATTTTCTTAATATTTAAGTAATTTAATTCGATAAGTCGGTTTACTCGAGTTTACATATTATTACACGAAGTTACAAAATCGGATATGGTGCAACAGGAGAGACCGTCCTATATAAGGAATGAATTTTCACAATTGATTACAATTTTTTTTATACAGTTTAAAATACTTTTACAAGGGTATTATGTAGCCCATTCTTGCAATAAATCATGTGTAAATAATTACACAAACTTGAAGCTTTACACTTTGTTGTTATCATAT